AGACCCATGCACCACACCCCTTCTATATCCCTGTTATTATTGGTTTCTATTTTCGAATTTTTCTTAATTGTTTCATTATCTAACTTAAATGTAACATGTGTGAGCTTCTGGACACCTTGAATTTACCCAAGGGGATGAATAAAGTATCTATCTATCTATCTATCTATCTATCTATCTATCTATCTATCTATCTATCTATCTATAGATGTCAGCCTTTTTGGTGTGAGCCCTTCTTATGATTTATTTAAAAATAAGATAATTTATTTATTCATTAAAAAAATAAAATAAAAGTAATGCACAAATAAATGAAAAGACTAACTGCAGCGGACATAGAGGCTACGCAGAAGTGATGAGTTTGTCTGCATATATTTTACTTTGAAAGTAATGAGCGGAGGCTGCATATGTGATCGCAGCTTGACTCTGGTCCCATGTTGCGGGAGGGAGGCAGACGGGCTGCGCACCGCCGGTAGCTCGGAGACACTTTACCGGAGACACAAAGTAGCCTGCCGGTGTGGTGATCTTTCTCGCATCTCAGCGGTCTCAGTCGGTCAGTTCAGAGACGTGCGTGTGTCTCGGGGTGTGGGCTTTGGGGACCGGCAGTCGGCGGTAAACGGACTGGAGAATACCTGATGTTGCATCTCCGTTTGAGCGCATAGGGAGCGCAGGACCTCTCCCCCTCAGAAGGTAAGGTTTATTTTTCCCGAGACAAACACACACACATCGGGGTGAAAGCAGTGCCGTGCTCCTGCAGATCCTGCCGTCCACCGAGGCTCGCTGTTTCCAGCCTGAGCCGTCAGGTCTGGGTGCTGCTGATGCGCATGATGTCATAAACAGCCGCTGCATGGGAGCGGTGCTTCACGGTCAGAAACTTAGCAACTTGCTGGAGTCTCTGCACTCACTTTACGGTAAACTGTCTCAATAGGGCCCGAGCCTAATTATGAATTAGTTTAATTACTGATTAAATTTATTTTTTAACAATTAACCTTTGAAATGCAAAAAAAGTAAAATAAATAAATAAATAAATTACTCAAAAGATTTAAACACAAATGCAGATTCCCCAGACTGATGGTTTGAAGCAGCTCATTTGTGTGGAAACAGACAGTACACAACAGGAGTGAGACCTCCTGTGCAATATGACTATAGTGTCAAATGATCCCCTCTCAATAACTGCATTATTTCTAAGATGTGTGCGCGTTTCCTCTTATGAACAACAATAGAACAAAGAGAAAACACTTTAAAAAGACTATACTGAAAACATAGGCCCCAAAGTAAAAACTCAAACTCACAGTCTAGCAGTGAAAAGCAGGACTTGGCACAAGTGATGATATGGGGCGGCATGAGTGCCAAAGGTGTTGGGGAGATGGCTCCACAAATATCTGTGGATAAATCAAAGCACTGGCTGACAAGATGACTCCTGATCTGCAGAAGCATGGTGAAACAGGAATATTTTAGCATGATAGTGATTCAAGGTATACTTCCAAAATCACACAAAAGTTTCTAAAGACAAAAAAGTAAAAACTATGACCTGGACAAGTGTGTCTCATGACACCAACAGAACACCTATGGTGTATTTTAAATAGAAGGTATAGCAGCCCATCCTTCAACTAACAGCTGAAAGTGTCTGAAGATAGGCAGAAGTATGTGCAATACTGTATCATACATGCTGCGGAGGAAGACTGAGTCTGTCATCATCAATAAATATGAACATATCTAGTGATTATATGGGGGCTATATTTTAAATAGTTTTTCTTAAGTATTTCGTTTTGATTGTTCATAAGTGAACACCTCTACTGTTAAATTAAAGATAATGCCGTTATTGAGAGGTGACCCAGTTTTGAATGATTTGACATGTACGTTATTTTGCACAGGGGTGCACGCACTTGTGTTCTTTGCTGTAAGAAGCTGCAACCATTCTTTGCATTAATGAATGACTTAGAAGATTAATCAAATTTCCTTGTATGTCAGTATATTAATAATAATGATGTCTGTCAATTCATTTTATAATAATTTTTCATTAAAAAAAAAAAAAAAAAAAAAAAAAGGCATTTGCTTTTCTTTGATAAATTAATTCACAATTACTCAACAAGACAGGATTTCAAACCAGGCAAAGGGGCCCACGCCTCACTTTAGCCATGGGTCTGATAGTGGGTTACAAGGCCTTGTAACAAGTTGTAACTATCTTTCTTTACCGAATGTGTCAGTCTAGAGTCTGATGCTTCAGATGTACTTGCATCTAATGTGTCCTCTACCTGTACAGGTTGGGACTCACCCTGCTGCAGTGAGACCCTATTTGGGTAAAAACCTGGATGAAGATGGAGTCGTTGATCCTCTGGAGGACGGTCTTCATCTTCCTCTTGCTCCCTGCTGTCCAGGTATTTAAAATGGATGGATGGATGAATGGATAGATGGGCAGAGTACGATTGGATGGAAGATTCCAAGCACTACATTTCTCTCAAAATCATTACTTTGTACATTCAGTGTAGATTTTTGATTTTTAAAAAATCAAATGGCTCACCATCACAATGGATCATAACATTCGCTGCTGAATAAAAATGAAAATGGACCCAATTAGTGAACCTTGTCAGGGTTCATACACTACTCAACCAGGCTGACTTTTCAATGTGGCTGCTGTTAGCTCTGTTGCTTAATTTGATCTGACCCGTCCAAATCAAATAGTTTGCTGTGCAGAGTGGAGAGGCTGCTGGAATCCTTGTACGTGTGTATGAACTAGGGTGAATGTCACCTCCTTATATGAAGCAATACTAAGCGCAGGATTTTCTCTGGCAAATATAGCACCTACATAATCCCTGACAACAGGCTGCTGTGGACCTGGCGTTCTCCATGGTCAACCTAGCAAAGCAGTCTTTATTTGGAACACGTCTTAGTGTCAGTGACAGGAAAAACACATGGATATGTTTTTAATTTGGGTTTTATTTTGTTACTCATTTTGACTTGTGCCATTCAGGGGAGAAGAAATACTTGGTTCATCTTTTTGCTAGTGGCTGGGACTTGAAACATTTATTTTATGAATTGCTTGCTATTTTGGTGAACTGGGAAATTAAGTTTGAAGGTTTAGATTTGGTGTTCACTTCTCATAAAATGTACACAAGCCATGTGTAACTTGTGCTTTAATATCTGACATGAAATGAAGCTTATTGTCGCTTATAAACTTAAAGAATTAATGGAATAAAGCAACATTTGTTGATTTACACGTAAAGGTGGCAAACCGCTGAATAATGGCACAGATCAGCCTCTATGGTCACATATCAAGCAAACCCCTTCAAGTAAAACTAGCTGTAGTTCGAGTCATACAGAAATAAACAGGAAAAAACAGTTAAGAGTCATACATAAAGTAAGAAGATAAACGACTCAATTGTTAAGCAAAACCTGAGATTAATTCAAAATTAATAATCAAGCATGAATTAGCAGCTTTGAAGAGTTCATCATTGATGTATGTACTATTTTGTTTCTTTACTCACTCTAAATTTACCTTTGCCTGAATGCCTGAAATATCTTGTGAAAGCCTCTATGTGTAAAGGCAATCCTTCAGCAGACAACACATTTCACTGTAACTGACTGACAGTACTCTGAAACTGACAGTGTGTTGTACTTGTTAGGTACTGGGTGGGCTTTTAAGTATGTTGAGAAATATATGCTGAGTCTCAAATAAAAGGAAACACAAAATGATGTTTTAATGGATTGTTGCAGCTTTGGGCTGTCTCAACTTACCTTCCAAAGTGATTCACACATACACGCTCGGTGTGGGTTCTGTGTGAGTTTGTGTGTGGAGAAGCAGGGATGTACATTATTCCATGCACTCGGTTTGTTTTTCTTGATAATGTGACTTCTGTTTGAGGACTGCTTGCTTGCTTGTTTTTGCAGTTGCTGTAGGATTTTTCATGAGCATATGAAGCAGTCAGTTAGTAGGGGAGTAAAGATCCAGGGACATGCCTCCCTGGGAAAAAAAAAAGTCCATAAAAGCCCAAACTTGGTGACCTCTGGTACATTCCAATGCTACTAATCTGTTATGCACTGATCTTGATCATGACACATTTCAATGATTTTGTCTTTCCAGATGTAAACATGTTGTAAATTGTTGTAAATGATAACAACAACAACAACAACAACAACAACAACAATAATAATAATAATAATAAACAATAATAACAACAACAACACATAAAGACATAATACTTAATACTTAGTAATAGTTTGAAGAAGTTTGTTTGCAGCCAGGACTATATTTCTGCGATGCAGCTGGTGACAGTGGGGATTGTTTTGGTGGAGATACAGAGTTGGATGTGATTAGCAAAACAGTAAAATTTGAGGTGTGACAGCAGCAAGTTTGAGACAGAGTGGGATGATACATGTAGATAGTGAGGAGTTTATAGTTGTGGTGACGAGTGGGCCAGTAAAGGAAAGCAGGCCTTAACAAAGTTTGAGATGAGGGGGTCCAGGATGCAGGTAAAAGTGTCTATTCCTGTCCTGAGGTTGGAGAGGTCTGATGGGGAGGCTGGAGAGAACTGGGATAAGGGGCTGGCAGGCTAAGGGGGGCCAGGTAAGTGGAAGAGGGTCACATGTAGGAGAGGTTAAATCATTGTAGGTGGTCTCTGTTTTGGTTTGGAAGAATGACAGGAAGGGGGTGCATTTGTTGATTGTGAAGGACTGGGAACTGTTGTCCTGGGGGTTTGGGAGTTTGTTCTTTGTCGTGAATACCAGGTTACCAGAGCCAGACTGTATTAGTTAAGAGTAGTAGGTGGATCTGGCGTGGGACATCTTTCTGTTGCTGCAGGCGGTGCTGGTAGAGTTGTGAATGAACTGTGAGACCTGTTATATTGCACAGTCTTTCTAATTGATGGGCAGGGATTTTCATCTGACTGAGGTTGGGGGTATACCAGGGAGGAGAATGAGTGAAGGATACTATATTGGTTTTGATGGGTGCAAGCTGGTCAAGGCTGGTGAAGAGGATGTGGTTGTAGTAATCTGTGAGGGTGGAGGGGGTGTGGAGGCCAGGGAGAGGGGAGGTGGACATTGTTTCTGTGATGGAAGATGAAAGAGAGAAGAGGGGAATGGAGTTTAGTTTGTGAAAGCTAATTGTGTGTTTTTGTTTTGGCGAGGATGTGGGAATGTCTGTCTATGGTGATGTCTAAGTGGTCAGAGACAGTGAGACTGGAATTGAAGAGGTGATTTATAGAGAGACCGGTGGAACAGAGAAGCTCTAGGATGTGACCATGGTTGCAGGTAGGAAAGTTGACATGGTGAATAAAGTTGATGCGGTTGAGTATTCCCATGAATTCAGTGGTTGATGTGGAGTCTGTAGAGTCCGTGTGGATCACCAAGGAGGAGGATAGAAAGGGAGTGAGAGCAGAGCTGGGTCAGGAAGTCAGTGAGGTCGAAGAGAAAGGTTGGCTTTGGCTTGGGAGGGCAGTAGACAGCAAACATAACTAGGACAGACAGGGAGGGCGCATGTGTGCATTGTTGCAATGACATAACGCAGGTGTGATGGTGTGCTTAGCTGGCCACAGCGATGGTATAGATTGACCAGTCTGGGAATAAACAAACTTGCAATGGGAAGATCTGTGAATGTATCTGGGCCATGGTTTTTGATGGAGGAGAATGAAACTGCTTGTGTATTTTGTAGTCCACCCAGTCTGTAAATAGCTGTGATCAGCACTTTTCTAATTAAGAGGCTTCACTTCTATTCAGCGAAAATAAACAAGGTTAATTTAATGGGGAGCGTGTTTTTGATCCTGTGTGTTCCTATCTGTTGGTTTTTTATTTGACTATTTATAGAATAAACCTAAGATTAAAATGGCAGAAAATAAAGCAAATAAACAGTAAATCTTGACTCAATTCAAGTGTATCTATTAAATCAAATTAATATCCAGTTATCTTCTGCTGTAACAAGTTGAGTGTTAATATATAACAGTCATTCATTCATTCATTCATTCATTCATTCATTCATTCATTCATTCATTCATTCATTCATTCATTCATTAAGCCCTTAAATGTTTGCTTGGTGTATCTGGAAAAATGCAGTACTTCTAGTGGACTTCAGAATTCTTACAACACAATCATCCAGTAGCTTCCCCTGGTTTTTCCAGGAGAAACCCATCTAATGAGGCTGTCCTCTGTCTGTGCCATCAGTGCAATTCTTCAATGCATTCTGTGTGCTAATTATCAAAGTCTGAAGACTCTGCTCTTTACTCATCAGGATTCAACCTCTGCAAAATAGAAGATCGCCATGCTAAATAGTTTCTGCCGGAGGGCTATAACAGCACATTTCTGAATTATTTTGTCCCTTTGCTGTCTGTGACCCCAGTCCCATAGATTTTTACAATGGGACTCCATATAATGAAGGTCTTGCACATCTGCTTATTGAATTCTGAAAACATACTCTCAAATCTCCAGAGTACTATAAAATGCAGATTGTGTTCATATGACAGCATAAAGCTGCTGTTGTCAGTATCTAATTGGTATCACAGCTGCAGTATTTCAATGTAGCAAACAGTGATTAATGAACACTAATGAATGTATGAGGTCCACAGATTTTAATCGTCTATTAAATTTAATTTAGCAAAAGACAGATTTGTGGCAAAACTTCATAGAAATCAAACTTGGATTTAAAAAAAAGGTGGCAAAACTTGAAGTTATTACAGATCAGTGCACAGTCCATCACATTGCATATTTTTGTTAGTAGAAAAATGGGAATTCCTCTCATCATCTCAGAGTTTTATCAGCGTTGATATGATGCCATCCAATTTGATAAAACCTCAAGTATAAACTTCTCTAACTGATGGTTTTCAGTCATAAGTTGGAAGCTTGTCCTCAATATCAATTGAACTGTCAATTTCCCACTGAATGTGAAGACACAAACACAAACATAGGAACAGAGATTCAAGAGTTTTTTATTGTCATGTGCTCATACAGTATGTGCAGTGAAATGCAAAGTGACCGTTCCCAAGGCTGTGCAGTAACACTAACAAATTATAAAAGGACACATCTTTAGAAAAACAATAGAAAGTTGGAAAAAAGTCACAATGTCATAAATAACAAGGTAGAGAGCCTAAACTAAAGTACAGTACGTTGTGTAAGTGTGTGTGTGTGGCTGTGTTTGTGTGTGTGAATGTTATTTACATTTTTACATTAGTCCAGTGTTCAGATGACACTAGTACAGATAATGCGCTATATTTTTGGCTGAGGTTCAAGTTCAAAGTCCTGACTGCATGACGAAAGAATCTCTTCCTGAGTCTCTCTGTGTTCGCCTTGATGTTCCTCAGGCACCAGCCAGAGTGTAGCCACTCAAACAGTCCATTGCTGGGGTGGTGGGGGTCCTCCATGATCCTGTTTGCCCTGACCACGCTCCTCCTGA